TATATATACATATATATATATATATCTCTACATATATCTCGCGCTCTCACTTATGGAGTATATATATATATATATATATATATATATATATATATATATATATATATATATATATATATATATATATATATATATATATATATATAGATGTATTGTACTATTTTTATCATAGCCAAAGAAGGAACAATAACATATATCACTACCAAATAATAAGCTCCCCTCCTATTATCTAAAAATAATATTCTTTCTAATCTCTATTTTAATCTTTCAATAGTACTCACACTGAAATATAAAAGCTTAATGAAGTTTTGGGATTTTTATAATTAGCATCTATATATTTTAAATAAATAACTCTCTAAGTAAAATCAAAAGCGAACACTGTTGAGAAAAATCTTTACAGATAAATACATTATACTGGTTTACATAGATTTTAAGACGTTTTATAAAGAACATTTGTTATAGTTTAGCAATAGTAGTTATGTCATACCAACAGAGGAATATAAGAGAATTGTCAGATACATACAATGTTATGGGGATTTAAATTCAAGACTTACTTGGCCTTATGTCTAAATTGTAAATAGTATATGAATGAATGAATGAAATTGAAAATGTGATATTTATGTTAAAGTTTCATTCATGCATGAAATTGCTAAGGTTTGTATATCACTATGAAGAAGATGATGACATAAGCATCACCTCAGTCATAAATACAAGACTTCAGACAAGAATGTTAAAACACCACATCATAACTTCCACCTCACAAGGTGCACAAAGTGACGTAATAATAATTTAGTTGTTGACAAGAATCTTGCCTAGAAATATAGTATTTTGGGGTGGCAAAGAATGCATTCATCAAGGACTTCTAATAAGGATTGGACAATTTTAAGAATAATACTAGAGATTTATAAATATTTCTGTAGGAACTGATCATGTGTACTAAAGTACATACCCAAGAGGTAAAAGGCCCAAAAAACATGTTGAAAATTATTATGCATCACAAGTAGGTTATTCATTCATTAACTATTTACAAAGTCTTCTGGCACCCACCAAAAAACATGAGACTGGCTGATTATAGTAAGTTGTTTTGATGATCTTGTCAGTTATTTGTCTGAACTCCTCCAAATCTTATTCTGTCCCCACCCTAGGCTTCACCAATCTCACATCCTGCTGCATCTTGGATTGGAATCTCAATGCAATCCCCACTTAGTCTTGTCAGCATTTGTGGTGAGAAGTGTTGTCACACTTGTTTTGTTTCCAGCTCAGCTGTGGTGTATTTGTGAGCATGGCATCTATGACATTATGATCCTAGGATACTACCATTGTAGAAGCACAAAATCAAGGTGGAGGGAAGATGCATTTTTGCATTGCAATAAAGAGGGGAAAGAAGATGTCTACCAAGTTGAAAAGGGGTCAAGCTCCCATGGGAGTTGCTGCCCTCTAGAGTGGACAATCTTAAGGCTCCCATGACACAAATATTTCATGAGCATAGGACGTTTTCATGAGCATAGGACGTTCTTGATAAATTAAAATAATTCTTGTATCAAATAGTCAATCTTAGCTGTAAGCTTTTTTACAAGGCAAAGACTTTTACTCAAGAATAAAAGGCAATCATTTGTTCTCTGGAATAATATCTCAAAATGATATTTGTCTTCAGTTTTTATTTTGCAATTGCTCAAGCAACTGAAGTTTATAAGGTAGATTTATAAGTAAAATCTAGCTTTAGAAACTCATACTTAATATCACAGCTATCCAATGGAGAAGTTATTAAATGCATAAATTTTGAAGAGCAAATATCTCTCAATGGGAAAATCAAAGAAATCCAAGTAAGTATGAATAATCGAATGAGTACTATATATTTAATGTCTCAAACAGTTATCTCCACCAATTACTTTTCCCAGTGAGTCACCACCAAAACCATTTCCTCAGCATTTTTCTACAGAGATTGGCTCATGTCCACAAGGAAAAATACCAGTAATTCAAAACAATCTGACAAAAAATTTCAGATCAAAGTACCCTAAGCTCTCAAACATTAGTCTAGAAAATGCTTCAGTTCACGAGGTTTGCAATTGCAAAAGCAATCAATATGATCATTTATATTTATAATTTACAACAGCATGCTGGCTACAGCCACATTCTCCCCAATCCTGTTTTTGGGATGACAACCACAACTAGCCTTTGGCAACCAGATACCGAATCCAACAACTTTAGCTTGTCCCAATTCTGGGTGGTGCATTTAGCTGGACAAACAAAAACTACACTCGAAGCTGGATGGCAGGTGTTGTATTTTATTCCGTTTTATTCTGTTACTAATCCAGTGTTTATACAGGTGTTTCCATCGATGTATGGGAATAACGAGCCTCATCTGTTCGTTTACTGGACAGTAAATGAATCTTCTCTCGATTTACAGTCCCAGTAACATACTAAATCTTTTTCAACAGGCAGATGATTACCAGCACACTGGATGCTACAATCTGGAGTGCCCCGGTTTTGTACAAGTGAGCAACAAGATTGTCCCAGGGGCTACTCTAAGGCCAGCTTCTCAACACGGAGGACCTCAGACAGTACTTAGCTTCCTCGTTTACCAGGTGAGAGCGAAAAATTCTCGAAAAATGCTTTGATGCGAAGCGCAGGACCCCGAGACGAAGAACTGGTGGCTTCGAGTGGAGGACGAGTACGTTGGCTACTGGCCGGGCTCGTTGGTCCCAAATCTCGCCAATGGTGCCACACATGTAGACTTTGGCGGAGAAGTTTTCTACTACAAAGTTGAGACTTTGACTTGCTTTGCCATGCGATCTTAACTCTTTAATCTTTACGGCAGGGTAGCGAGCACACGACAACGCAGATGGGGAGTGGCGAGTTCCCAGAGGCCGGTTTTAAAAACGCAGCCTATCACCGAGATATGTACCATGTTCTCCTCGGTAACGATCACGCTTTGCACTACACGCTGTTGGCTCTCAACGACAGGTTCTCTCGAGTACCCTCCTGTTATAGAGTGGGACCAGCGCTGAATACCAACGGTGATACGTGGAAAAATTATTTCTTTTTTGGAGGTCCGGGCCGCAACCCAGCGTGCCCTTGAGGTAGGCACCACAAGAAAACGAAATTTCCATTGTTTTGGTCCCTGCGAAATGAAATAAGTTTTTACATAAACTCCAGAAAGGCCTGAAACCTGGAAAAGTCGTTTTTCTAACGCGCCGCTCCTTGCGATCCTATCAAACCAAAACGAGCCTTGAGTTTAAAAACCAAGCAGAGCGAAGCGAGCGTTGTGCGAGCTATGGCCGTGAAGAGAGAAAAGAATGCCTTGCACTGAGAAACTTACCGCAAGCAAAGAAGTACGTAGAGCAAGAAGTGTATACAACCGGCCTCTCTTGGGCTCGTTGGTTCTAAGTCTCGCAGATGGAGGCACCTTTGTTGGTGGAGAAGCTTACTACAACAGAGTTGAGACTTCTAAAGACTTGCCTTTGAGACGATATCTTGCGCTGGAAAAATGTGGACTACGCTGAGCAGGCTGGCGAGCACACAACGACGAAGATGGGAAGTGGCGAATTCCCAGAGGCCGGTTTTTGACGCGCAGTTTATCACCCAGAAGTGGACCTTGTTCGCCTTGGTAGCGACCACGGTTTGCGATACACGCCATTGGTTCTCGAGCACAGGTTATCTCAAGTGCCGAGCTGTATAGCAACGGTGAGAAGTGGAAAACTTACTTCTTTTTCGGACGTCCCGGCTTGAGATAGCCACCGCACGAAAACGAAACCACTGTTTTGATGCGTGAAAGGAAATAAGTTCTTACAAAGCTACCAGCACTAAAAGCCTATCTTTTACCAGAAACTGGAGCTTTTCTAAGGCCGAGGTGCTCAACGTGTCCTTAGAATTCTCACAAACGGAAAGTGCCTTGAGTAGAGCGTTTTCAGCGAGCGTCGTGCGAGCTATGGCTGTGGAGAGACAGTAAAGAAATCAGTACCTTGCACTGAGAAACTTACCGCCAAGCAAAGAACAAATAGAAGTACGTAGTGCTACAGGTGTTCTAGTGACACATCAAAGCGGCAGCAGCTTCTTGTACGGGCCTGGTAGCGTGCATGTGTGACTCGGTATCGTGGTGTTCTTCCTGAAATGCCCGGCCGCCGGCCATCCTCCTCACAAACGGGACGAAGTTGTGCCAGTTCTCGCTGTAAAACAGCTTCTCACTCATCCTCAAGAACGTAAACGAGCACATAGGCTCGCACGCCGTGGACGAGCAGCCGCTAGAGCTCGGGGAAATCCAGTCGTCCTCGTCCTCGCTCTCTTGCATCCGGGACTTCTTCAACACCTGTTCGTACGCAGCCTCATCGAATCGAGGAAGAGCGTTCTCTCCCGCCAGAGAGATCCCTGCTTGCTTGCATGCCGAGACCACCTGGTGGAGCAAGCTCTCCGGGCTCGAAAGCGCGTGAGGGGGCTGCTCCAAGTCGCGCATCTCCACGCAAGTGAAGATCATGACCACCCCGTGACGTCCAAACATCCGAGCCAGGCCCGTGTATCCGTCTCTAAGCCGAGTGTTGTAGTACCCGGCGGTGAGCTCCGCGGGATGAGGCCTGGTCCCGTAGTGCCAGTGAACTCCTGCCACTTTCCCTGCGAGCTTGATCCCCGTCCCCCGGAAGACGGCCTCGGCCGTGGAGAGAACACGCTCACCGTGAGAGGTGAGCATCCCGGAGTACCACTCGAGAAAAAACTGGCCGTAAGGCGAGTTCCATGAGCCGTCCCTGTTGAAAAACCCCGTCTCGTCTGGCCACTGGTTGTAGTGACCGGCGTCGTGAGGGCCCCCTTGTCCCCAGTGCTTTGTTCCACAGGCAGTCGCACAAGCTCTTAAGCTTGCTAACATGTACTAAAATCACAAACAAAACATTTTTCAGTACCAGGGCGTCGTAAAGCATTTGTTACCTCGTCATAGCACTGAAACTCGCCAATACCGGGAAATCTCCATTTTCCATTGTATTCGGGATAGGCCGGGTACCGGAGCTCCCCGGCAGGACCGAGTCCTACTTGGACTTCCTACAAGTTTCCAGGCTTTAGTGCCGAACAACAGTTTATTATAGAGTTTATTTTCTAGCTTACCACGATAGTCTCGCCAAGAACATCTGTGAATGCATGTTTGAAGCTACGCATGAAGTCCGAGTAGGCCTGGATAGGAGTTCTACCGCGTAAAACAGGAAGAAAGTCACAGCCAAGCGAAAGATATTCATGGTTCCTGTTGCCAGACTTGTCCGTGTACACAATGTTTGGATTGTTTTGGACCTCCTCAAGCACCCACAGTGGCAAAGGTATACTGCAAAAAACAAACACAAGTCTTCTGTCAGCGCTAGAAAAGACGGAGAAAACCAAGAGAAACAAAGACAGGGTCTGAAGAAGCAGCACAGGAGAAAGAGTTACTTACTAGCAAGAATCGCCAACGTTGCCTCCACACTGGTGAAACGACATGACAACTTGAACCTTGAGTCCATTCTTTTGGACCAAGGACACAAGCTCCTTGTAAGCGGACCACTTGTAGTGCTGAGGCTTTTCTCGCTCTACGATCCCCCACCAGACGTCCACCATCACGCCCTCCACTCCCGCACTCTTGAGCGCTATCAGCCCCGCGTTCAAGGCCCTCCTCCGGTTTAAGGTGTTGTTCACGTTGACACTGTCGAGAGGAAGCATGACATAGACGGGAACTCCTCCCGAGGAGCCCCGGCTCGTCGGTGTGTCCAGAAATGCATACTGCTTCTCGAAAGCTGGAAAGTCGGTCAACCGGAAGGAATCCAACTTCTTCTCGCTGCTGGACGGTGCCTCGGGAGGTGAAGACGACGATGGCAACGGCGAGAAGGATGGCGATGACGATGCCAGGAACGGCAAACCGAGAGGAAGTCTCGACTTCTTGCCGCGGGAGAGGGACCAAAGGCTGCAAACTTTGCTCGAGAGCGACCAAAGCTTGCTACTTCCCGGCCCCACCTTGAACTCCAAAAACTGGATGCCGTGTTGCGAAGAGGAAGAGCAGTTACCAGTCCCGTTTGTTGAAGACGCTACCACGGTTGTGGGACTCGTCACCGTTCCTGCGATCGGATTTGCAAGCCAAGCCTGTGACTGCCCCCCAAAAGCCATGACCACGATCTTTGCCACGGCCCAGCGATGAGCGTCCAAGATCAATAAGTCCAAGAAGGCCAAGAAGAGCCTCGTCGACCAAGTTGGCGGAAGAAAAATCCCATCTCCCGTGTACAAAGGTTGCATTCTGGGCAGTGTGCTTCGCAGGAGCGCATCCTGTTGAAGGAAACGAGGAAGAGAATATGCGCGCGTATATTCCCTGCCCGCCATATCTCCTCTTTCACAGACCATCCAGTTCTTCCCGTTTCCATCGTAATCGAAGTAAGTTGGATGTTCTGTTCTTCCGCCCCGAGAATTCTCAACATGCATTTAGCATTCCCCGGTATCTATCCCCGTTCCCGAATTTAGTGTTCTTTAGTTACTTGGCGACTAGAGCGCCAAGTAACTTATTGAAAGACACCTGGTTTTCTTCAATGTTGCTACACTGTTTTGGCGATGTCCTGTACAGAAGAGGAATGAGACTTTGGAGGGCGTTCTTAACAAACAAGCTTACTAGTTTGATCCTCTCCCCATACAAACCGCTGCTTGCATCGTTGAGGCAAAACATTGTCATTCTGGGTTTTAAAGCTGCAAGGAACTAGTAAGTAAGCAAAAAAGGAAAGCAACTGCAGGCAAGGCAGCCTTTGCTCACCTTTCACATCGCTGTTCCATCATAAAGTGATGAAAGCCGGGGATCGCTCCTCAGCTTCCTATCCAGCTCCGTGTACCTACACGAAAAGAGAAGGAAAAAATAAGTTGGCATTGTCAATCGTACAACCGTGAGAACTTACTTCCTCAAAGCTGACTGTTCGTGCTCTTTTGCTCGTTTTTCCAAAATGCGGATGCGGAAAACAGCAGTCTCACAGTCCTGCTCATACTTTTCAACTTCATCCACGGTCATTTGTTCTCTATCCCGTTCAAAGTTTGCTCGCCGCTTTGCTAATGCAGCAGTTTCTTCGTCATAGCGTGTCTGAAACAACAAAATTCCAGATTACTGACATGTTCTTATTTTCATTTACCTGAATGATCGTGGCTCGATTCAACAGACGCTGCTTTAGTGCCTTGAGGCAATTTTCTCGAACTTCAAGCATTTGAACCCGCGTCAGCTTTTGCCTTGGTCTTGTACCCGGTGGCAAAAACGGTGACAAATAATCAGTTGGTGCCTGCAGCCAAATGCAAAAGTCATTGCTGATCGAAGCTCCAGAAAATTTAATACCTTCTTTTCTGCTTCTCGGTCCTGCAACGAGTCGTCCTGCTTGAAACAAGCAACGTCTGTATATGGCAGCTCCAGAATTACGTTTTGCTCTTCCTTGAGGCGATGCTGAAGAATATCACGAGTTTCATTCTCCCCATCACGGACTGCCTTTATCATTTCCCGTTCAGTTATCAGAAGTTCATGAAACTCATCCATTCTCTCAAACAATTCCAGTTCCTTTTCGAAAGGGTCAACCTGTTTTTGGGACAAAAATTTATCCACAGCAATTTTCGTGAACCAAGTACCTGAAGTAGAGTCATTGTGCCATCTTTCGTATAGACGCGCGAAATGGAAGTGATACGACGACCTATATGATGGTAGTCAATGCGGATCTGATCTTGGCTTAAGCGGAAAACCTTTTTTGCAACATTCTTCGGGTGTTGCTTGGAGAACCTGAGCAAACAAAAATTAAGCCCGTGCCTTCAGCAAGTGAAAAGGGAAGCACTTTAGTGTAAGTTTGGTGATCGGTAGAAAGTTGTCAGCAACAGTTTTCCTTCTGGCAGCCAGCGAAATTGTGTACGTTCGTTCTGAAACAGGATCTCGCTTATCTCTCACAGGGGTTCGTGACCTTCTGCTACTAACGCTGCAAGTTACAGTCATTTGCATTATTAGACAAGAGCTGGATCCAAAAGTTGGCATACCTCCTGAACCGAGACATAGTGCGTGATAATGACTTTCCCCTTGCACTGTCAGAAGATATTCGAGCTCGGCTTGTTCTGCTCGCCGAGTCGCCACGAAGGCTACTCCCACGAGACGAACTTTTGGTCTTAGGCTCGGCAGTTGCTGCTGTTGATGCTGAATCTGGTTCACTTCGAAAAATAGGACTGCCTTGAGGCAAAGTTACTGGAGCCGGCACACCATAACATGCACATCGGTACACCATTGAGCTTTCCGAGTTATCAAACGTTTCAACAAGCTTCTTGCCTAGCAGCTGCACTAGAAGACCCTCTTAAGGAAATTAATAAACGTTAGGGAGAGACTCGGTTGCTCACCTCTTCGCGGCAAACCAATCCATCAGTTCGAGCGCCAGAATGGAACATAAATTTTCTGCTCACCCCCTCTACTATCTCAATTTCCTTCAGTCCAAACGATGTCCCCTGATTAAAAAATTCATGCACCTACAGAAACGGAAAATGTTATCAATAAACTGGTAAGGCAAGAAAACCAAACCTTGTTCTCCTGCAGGAGAAAAATTCTCCTTTTAAGGCCATCTTTGCGTCTCTGAAAGTAATCGTGACATTCCAAAAGGATTCTCCTGTCGTTGTCAGCGTAGAAGTGCAGGCGTTCGATCAATCCATCCCAGCGAACATAATCTCCATAAAATGCATACATCTCATGAGTACACTTGTCGTAGTGTGTCTTCTTCATTCCTTTCGGACACCTGCAGGATACTAGAGAATGTTAGAACACGTTTCCTTGAAAAAAATCGTACCATGTACCTTGTGACAAAAGCCTCCATGGAAATCTCAAGCTTAGGTACCCATGAAGGTGGCAAAAGCCAGTGATGTATATCAGTCTCGCCAATCTTTTCTCCCTCGTCGACCACAGTCTTCTTATCAGAGCTGCTTTTGGCTATCGTTGCCTTCGTGGCACCAGAAGTTGCTGAAATCGTTCCAGCAGCAGCCTCTGGAGATGAAGCGCGAGTTGGATCTGGCCTTGAGCCAGCAGGTGTAGAAGAAGGAGTCGGCTTGGACGACGTATCTTCTTCCTTCTTGCCATCAACAATGGTCAAGTTGTCTCGGAAACGGCCTTCAGTGTCAAGGCCATCAAAGATTCTTTCCCACTTCACGGTATCCTTCAAATTCCAGGAAAGATCATTGATCCCTGCCCGAGTTGGATTCGGCTGCATGTTGATCCAGACGTTGCTCTGGTTCCAGACGTACTCAACAGCATAATACGGAGAGTCCGTCAGAGGATACTTCCGACCAGTACTAGGTTCGACGAAGAAACTTTCGGTCAGACCTCGTTTTCCACTCACAATCATCACCCAGCAATGTACTCGTTTCCTGTCCAGCTTGTCAACCTCTGGTTCAACCGGCGGCTCTGGAGTACTCACGGCCTCAACCACCATGGAATCCTGTATTTGCTTTTGTACGCCACCACACTCGGTTGCCTCTGGTGTTTCTTCTGCTCCCTCCAGCTTCGGATCGTCCGGTTTCATTTCTGGCTCTGGCTCCACCTCATCTGACTTTCCTTCCTGTTTTGCATCGGACTTTGCTTCTTGTGTCGTGCTTGTAGTGCCTGCTTCAGCTGCTGTTTTATATGGATCAGGAGATGATGAAGTTGACAGAGCTTCTGCAGGCTCGGGAGGGTCCGGCGGCTCAACCTCTTCCAAGTCCGGGACGTTGCATCTTTCAACGCAGTACCTAAGAAGTGTGTCCTCCTCTTCGTTTTGCCCGTATTTCAATTTGGCATCGACGCTTCCCTTGAAAATCTCAGCAAAGCCTTTTGCTGCAGCATCTCTGATGTCTTTCTCATTTGAAAGAAATTGATCATTCAGTATAGGTGGCGACGGTCTCGAGTATTTTGTTGTTCGTGGTGGCTTTTCAGGAGGCCGCCGGGAAGCAAGCTCTCGCTCTTCGACAGCTTTGGGACACTCGCAGTGTTTCTGATAGAAAACGACTTAACCAACAAGCAAATCACACAAGAACAAGCCGGCAAATATACCTGATTATTGGAAGTTAGAAACAAAGGTGCGTATCCCGCTACACAATATGCATCATAGCGGGCACCAATAAGAAGCGACGCCAGTGCAATTGAAAAATCAAAACAATCGCCTCTTTGCCACTGGTGGAACAAGTAAAATAAGGTTGCATGTAAATCAACCTATGAATACCTCAATAACACTCTGTGAAGACGGTATGTAAGATGGAAAGTACTTTGGATCTTCAAGGGTATCAAATGCTAGGAAGTTGGATATAAAGCTGGCGCATCCTTGCCACTGGTATAACTCCGTATACTCCATGTGTGATGGCCGTATTGTCGAGCAAATGAACTTTTCCACGCCACATTCATTTTTCGCTATGAGAAGCAAGGGTCTTCTCTCCGGGTATACTTGCTGAAACTATAAGCAAATTTCCCGCACGCGTTTCAGGAAAGACACGAAAAAAAGACTTACTCGCTTCTGAAGATGTTTAACGTGCTTCAAAAGAAGTTGCTCTTTCTGGGATAAAACCTGGTAAGATCTTGGCATCTGGTTTATCTGGGAAACCAAAGCTGTTTAGCCTGGAAAAAAAAGAAGATAAGTCAAGCCTTACTTTGGTATGTATAATATGAAGAACACGATCTGTTTTTGTATCCAGAGACCTCTTCATCGTAGTTTCTACCATCTGTCACGGAACAGGCTGAAAGTACTTGTAAGTGTCTTGAAACAGAAGTGGTATAAATCAAAATTTCACCAGGGGTTTCAAAGACTCCAGCATTGTCTCCATGTACATATCCCACGTTTCAGTACTAGTATCTGATTCGATTTCGTCCAAAGTTTCCACCTTGAAGATGATAAGTTTGCTGGCGTGGAAACAAATCCTGAAACGTTCTATAACGTTGTTAACTGCTGTCCAGTCTAAAATAATCACTTACGTGCACTGTAATGCGGAAGTAATCTGGCTTTCGAGTTCTATCCAAGAACCTGAAAAGGCAAAGTGAACAGCCTGTTATCATCAGAACGTTTAAAGTGGTAGACTACCTTCGTGTGCACTTCGCTTAACTTCTGCTGAAACAGTCACAGCTGGACTGCAGCAAAACAAACACTGATTGTCAATAGTAAAATTTACTTCTAGTTCTGGTTTAGAAAGCATTACTTTGAAGGCTGTCGCAATACTTCGTCCCCGAGAGGAAGAACAAACGCTGAAGTCAACGCCGTTCCATTGCCATCAATCCCTCCAGCAATATAAAGCCTGAATCATACAAACACCATCAATCGGTTTTAGCCGTTCAACACACATGCCAACCTGTTGTCGAATATGGTAGCGACATGGTCATATCTTGGAGATGGGCATAGACCTTCGTTTACTAACTGCTCAAAAACTCAGAAAAATAAGCTTTCCATGTAGCAGTAAAACCCAAACCTTTGTCCAAACAAGACTATTGACGTCCAGAACATAAATGTCATCTTGCATAACGTTGCCTTTTCCCCCATGTACGTATATATTAGCTCCTATAGCCGCAACAGCAGCGTGCTCTCTGGGTGCAGGCACAGATCCTTTCGTGCGTTGCGGTATCCAAGACCATGTCTGAAAATTAAGTTTACTGAAACAAATATTTATATGAATGCGAGACTCTTTGAATCAAAAATACTTGAGATACTTTAAAATGCTAATACCTGAGTGCAGAGTGTGTACAGATCGTTATGCCGTTGGCGAGTTCCACGGCCTCCAAATAATATCACCTGGTTAGCAGCAACTGAGAGCGATGCACCTTCACGAATTGAAGGTACAGTCCCTTCTACAAGAGGCTGCAAAATATAAAAGTTTCAGCATTAGCAACACAAAAACAAAAAAGTCAAATACCTGATACCAAGACACACTCTTGACATCAAGATAGTGCAGGTCATTCAAAAGCTTATTTTCTTCGTTTCGACCACCAAAAATATACAACCTGCGACAAAAAATAAACTGTAGCCAAACAGAAACTGCATTGAGGTAACAGCATACCGCTTATGGCCATCATAGGCCGCTGCGTGACCATCACGAGGCGCAGGAGCATTTCCACTTGTCCCAGGTTTAGCCCACAACAATGTCCGCAAGTCAAACGTGTAGAGATCATCAACCTGATACAATCCATAAGCTAAAAAAACCAGGGCAGTTACTAATACCTTTCCGTAATTGGGAATGTTTCCCCCAAACATATACAGTATAGGTCCAGCTTCCGTCATACTGTGGTGACTTCTCATTGGAGGGCCTCCTGGCGCAGACTCAAATCGCGTAGGAAACTGCAAGTAAGAGCCTGGAAACCAATAATGTCGGATGAATCACAGGTCTCTACATTACATTCTCTTACCAACAATTGTAGGCTGAGGCTTTTGACGAATGAGCTCTTCTAGTTGCTGCTGCGAAAATGACTCCCGCAAGAACTCCATAAACTCTTCAAAACCCTGTCATGACGGTCAAGGTTTCAAAATCGAAGAAGATCAAAATTCAGTATCTAGGCATACCCGAGAGTAAACTTTGTTGGCAGGCTCTGCAAGAGGATTTGCTTCGCAGTTGAACTCTTGTAGGTTCTTTAGAAGGCTGAGTGATGGTGGAATATGTACGAGGCGGTTGTTATGGACGTCCAGAAGTATCAGCTCCTTGAGATTTTGCAAAGCCAGAGGTAAAGTGGAGAGCATGTTTGAGCTGACATCCAAGCGTTGTAGGTGTCTAAGCGTTCCAAGCGATTCTGGTAGCTCGGTAAGCTGATTATTTGCTGCCAGTAAAAAAGAAAACCTTCAAGGCTTTTGAAAAGTATGCAAAGTACTAAGAGAACTTACCAACATTCAAATAAAGCAAGAATCCTAAGTTTTTCCAAAATGTCGGCAGCGACGTCAGATAGTTGCGAGCAAAGTTGAGCTCGCGAAGTGCAATCAATGAACCGACCAAATGATCCATCTCCCTTATTTCATTCTCAGAGACATCAAGGACCTGAAAAACCACGAAAATTAATTGGAGCTAATGCGCGGAAGACTTACCTGAAGCTTATGAAAGGAAAACACGACTTGAGGTAGCTGATGAAGATTGTTTTGATATAGTCTTAGAGCTCGTAGGCCACGAAACTCAGAAATCTCCGGTATCACATCCGTCAATTGGTTGCTGAGCAGGAAAATCCAATGAAAAAACCAAACAGATTAATCAGTAAAGAATCTTATGCAGCTATAGATCAACAGCCTACTTGTGAAAGTCGAACTCGATCACAACATTAGCACCAGCTCCTTTTATCATGTTTACTAATCCTTGTGGCAGCTCTTCGAGCTCCAAGCCGCTGTGAAGATCAAAACATAGTGAGAAAAAAACCGAGCATTTCGAGATATTGGTTTACCTGAGTACAAGCTTCTGTGACTTCCGGCAATCGGCCATGCGAGCCTTGATCTTCTTGAGCTTCACGAAGCTTTGTTTGCTCTTCGTCGCCATGGCTGCCGATGGAAGAGATGGACAAAGACTGGAGAAAATGCAAGGCGCTCCTCCTAGACGAGAACTAAACCCCTAAAACCCTACCCTACGCGATCCAATCCAAGCTCTGGAATCCACAATGCTAAATCCCTCGCCTGGGATCTCTCAATGCCGCCTCCTAAATCGATCGAAGTACCCGCACTGCTACCAAACTCACATATTTCGAGCACAACACTCCATCGTGAAGCTCATACACGTGATCGATCAATCGCCCTGCCCATTCGCCGCGCGGAGGCATCCAAAAACCCTAGCCCTAAAACTCTTTCTGCTGAATGCAACAACTGCTTTAAAATGCAGGGTATATTCCCAATAGCGCGCGAGCCGTCCGATCAAGACACCCGTAAAACCCTATCGGCGGGGATTAGGGTTAGGGCTTTAGGAAGGGGGCCGCCGAGTTCTTGAGCAATGGCGACGGAAGAGATGCAGGTGGACGCTCCCCCGGCGGCCGTGGTGCCCGAATCAGTGCTCAAGAAGCGCAGGCGCGACGAGCAGTGGAGCGTGGAGAGAAAGGAGCGCCTCGCCCTCGCCCAGAAGAAGAACAAGAGCAATCGCCGGCTGATTTTCAAGCGCGCCGAGCAGTATGTCAAGGAGTACCGTGATCAGGTATGGGGGGCAGCATTCTATCGCTCGATTCCTGTGGCATTTTCTCACTCCTTGCATTGGATCTCCAGGAGCAGGATCTGATTCGGCTCAAGAGGGAGGCCAAGCGCAAAGGAGGCTTTTACGTCGAGCCGGAAGCCAAGCTCATGTTCGTCATCCGGATAAGAGGGTGAGTGGTTTTTCTTTCTCGATTTTAAGTCTGTACAAACGGAGTATTATCTTTTGTTTTCATCCAGTATCAACGACATGCATCCCAAGACCCGGAAGATCTTGCAGCTTCTTCGCCTGCGTCAGGTAAATTCCTTGTGAAAGCTGCGATTGTGAAACGAGTTCTCTGACTATCACGTTCTTTCTTTTATAGATCTTCAATGGGGTGTTCATGAAGGTGAACAAGGCAACCATGAACATGCTCAAGAGAGTCGAGCCGTACGTGACTTACGGGTAGGTTTCTTTGTTTTCCAAGATCACCATCACGATTTCTAAGCAAAACTCTCCAGGTATCCGAATCACAAGAGCGTGAGAGAGCTCATCTACAAGCGTGGCTACGGGAAAGTCAACAAGAAGCGCATCGCTCTCACCGATAACTCGATCATCGAAGAGGTAAGATCCTTTTCTACGATGACTTCTCTAGTTCTCATCGTTTCTTATTTGTTCTTTCTCAGAGCTTGGGGAAGTATGGAATCATCTGTATCGAGGATCTCATCCACGAGATCTACACGGTCGGGCCACACTTCAAGGAGGCGAATAACTTCTTGTGGCCTTTCAAGCTCAGCGCTCCTCTCGGCGGATTGAAGAAGAAGAGGAATCACTACATCGAGGGAGGAGACGCTGGAAACAGGGAGGTCAAAGTTAACGCTTTGATCCGCCGGATGAACTAAATCGCCCTCTCAACACCCTCTTTTTTGCCTGGTTTTATGCTGTGTGTTCTTCCAGAGCGAGACTTTTAAATGATCGAGAATATTCGCAACGAAAACTCGAATCTAGGGCAAATCGGAATATGCTTAAGAGATGCGTTTAGGTGATGTTTTTTAAAAAAAGGCCCAACGGCTCCTTTGGCGCCCGCCGCCCGTGAGCAAATTCGTGTACGGATAGAATGTGGCCACTTTGCGCCAGTGGCCGTACGACTGCCGGCTGAATGAGCGCACGTCTTCCCTGCGGGGGTCTTTCCTTATTCCCCCCTCTCTCTTTGTCCAAGGCACTTCTTTCAAGGCTCTACTTTCGCTAGGGTTTGATCGATCGAGGAGCGTTTCTTGCGTTATCGGGCAGGCGGCGCGTGGAAATTCCGTGAATCGGGAGCATTTTCGCCACGATCGACAGTGCTGGAGGTAAGCGGCGCCTCCTTTCTTGGCCCTGGATCTTTATTTCGAGAGCTGGTTGGGATTTCTAGGCATGGACGCCGCCAGTGAGACGACTTGTGGATCTTTGCTGCGGGAGCTCCAGGTAAGAGCTTCTTAGATCCTACATTGCGCGAATGGACACTGAAAATGGCACTGCGCAGCACATCTGGGACGAGGTCGGGGAGAGCGATGAAGAAAGAGATCGTATGTTACTCCAGTTAGAACAGGAGTGTTTGGAAGTTTATCGGCGAAAGGTGGATCAAGCAAACCATGGGCGAGCTAGGCTACACCGGGCTCTTGCTGATGCCGAGGCAGAGCTAGCTGCGCTTGTGTCTACACTTGGAGAAAGACCTATCATTGTGAGTTTCTTGGCTCTTGGATCTTTTTCTTGTTCTCTCTTTAAAATTTTTGTGTAGATCGAGAATCGTTTGGGCACGCTAAAGGAGCAGTTTGCAGCAGTTTATCCCATCGTCGAAGAGATGAAACAGAAGAAGGAGGAGCGCAGTAGACAAATTGCCGATGTGAGGTTCCAGATCCAGAAAATTCGTGGAGACATTGCGGGAGCTCCGATCAACGACACGCCGGTTGAGGAAGATTTAACGTTGAGGAAGCTTGAAGAGTACCAGCTTCAGCTGCAGGCGTTGCAAAAAGAAAAGGTAAGAGAGCTTTTTCTATACTGGATGGAACATTGAATGCTCTAACTATATGTCTTTATGTCTAGTGTGATCGAATGAACAAAGTCATGGAGTATGTGAATCTCATTCATGACTTATGTAGCGTTTTGGCTATCGACTTCTTGAAGACAGTGGGTGAAGTACATCCCAGCCTGGAGAGTCTAGAGAGCACTCACACAAGAAGTATAAGTAATGAGACGTTAGCAAAACTTCAAAACACGGCGCAACGATTGCAGCAAGAAAAGAAGGAGCGCATGATAAAGGTGATCTCTTTTCTTCTTTTTCGATTCAACCAAAACAATTGTTTATGCAGCTGCAAGAATTGGGAGAGGCTTTGATTGAGTTGTGGAGCCTCATGGATACTCCGTCCGAGGAGCAGAACTGTTTTCAGCATATTACCTGCCATCTTGCTGCTAGAGATGACGAAGTGACAACTCCTGGAGCGCTTTCTTTGGACGTCATGGAACAGGTTCAAAGCTATAAGACGTGTTTCCATAGAGTATCTTAACTGTTTCATTCTTCTGGCAGGCGGATTTGGAAGTTCAAAGGCTGAGCCATCTCAAGATTAGCAAGATGAAGGAGCTTGTGCTGAAGAAGCGATCAGAGCTCGAAGATATCTGCCGTCGCGCTCACATGGAATGTGACGAAAATGTGTCGGAAGAGAAGATCAGCGCTCTCATTGATTCAGGTAACGGCGATAACCGGCTTCTTTCTTACACGATCTAAATAACGTATCTTGAAGGTATGATTGATGCTGCGGACCTTCTCTCAAACATGGAAGACCAGATTGGCAAGGCGAAGGAGGAAGCATTCTACAGAAAAGAGATTATGGATAAGATCGAGCGCTGGATAGCAGCATGCGAAGAAGAAAGCTGGCTAGAAGACTACAGCAAAGACGAGAACAGGTACTCTGCCAGCAGAGGCGCACACTTGAACCTGAAACGTGCTGAACGTGCTCGTGCCACAGTCAACAAGCTACCAGGTATACTTTTGTTTTATTGACAGTGCGTGTATGCAATTAACACTTCCATGCAGCTCTTATCGAGTCGCTAAAGGCCAAAGCGAGGTCGTGGGAAGAAGAAAGAGGTGCTCCATTCTTCTACGACGGGGTATGCAATTCTCATGCTCCATGCTGTTTATCCTTACGCTGTTTCGCCAGGTGAGCTTACTCGCAATGCTCGAAGAGTACAACCACTTGCGACGTGAAAAGGAAGAAGAGAAGCGACGGATGCGGGTAAGCATTTGCTTTCCTATAGCTACAGCCATGCGAAACAATCGTTTTCTGGCTGGCAGGATCACAAGCGCATCCAGGAGCAACTAATCACCGAGCAAGAAGTTCTCTTCGGATCGCGTCCGAGTCCGATCAAGCCCAACAGCGTCAAGAAGACCGCGGGTCTAGGCGCAAGGACGATGAACGGCGCCGCCGGCGGCACTACGCCGGCCAACCGTCGTCTGTCCATGGGAGGAGGAGGAGGAGGAGGAGGCAGGAACGGACGCCTCGCAACAACACCAGCTCCAAAGCTCGAGGATAACAACGCAGGTGGGTCTGACAGTGAGATCGCTTCTGTCACCACCGATTATCGCCTGCAGGTGCCCATCCTCTGAGCTTCCAGCCCGACCGGAAGCCATTGACGCCACTCGTCTACCAGCAGCAGCAGCAGCAGCAGCAGCAGGCTTCCACGAGAATCATCAACTCTGCCGATTGCTTTGCCAGTCCGGTGAAGCCGACCTCGCTATCTCTAGGTGCCAAGCACAGCAACACCGGCATCGCGAATAACACCAGCTACACCAACAAGAGCAACAGCAGCACCACTTTATACAAGAAGTGCGAGCCGCTAGAGGAGGTGGTGATCACTCCAGTCGCCTCTAAGCAGGCCGACCAAGGGAGCTTGAGAAGCGGTGGCTCGCTGCTCGTCCCCGAGATTGGCTCAGTTCTTCTTCCACACAATGCTCCAGGCATTGTTCCAAGCAGGCTACCGCAGCAGGAGATGGAGTACTCCTTTGAAGAAAGGAGGCTGCTGTGTCTAGCTAGGTAGGAATCTCATGTATATAGAGATTAACAGCAATTAGTTTACTACTCTGCCAAAGATGATCCTATCGTTGTTTCTTGTTGACGTGGTATGGTGTGTAGGGAGAAATCAAAAGAATATTTCGCAACAATGCAACATTGGGAAGATTTTGAGGGTGATTGTGCTGGATTCAGCAACTTTGGTGAAACTTGTGCATATGTGTTGGCAAATAAAAAATAAAGAGAAAAAAGGAAAAGAGAAACGTCACTTGATTTTGGTGCAACTCTTTGGACCGTCGATGCGAACTGTAACGTGGGGCGTTTATGGCGCTTGGATGCAAACTACCGCACGCTTTAATGATCATGGCTGCGATGTCATCCAATCCAGGCCGTCGAAAATGGAGAACGAATCGCGAATGCGTGATGATGGGGTGGAATTGTCATGCTCTCCAGAATGGAGCTCGAATCTTGAGAAAAAAAAGCAAGACAAAAAAAAAGATAAATATTTCCGAAAAATCAATCCATTTCAAGTCAGTCTGATTGATCGCGAAAGCAGGAGGAGAAAATTAAAACGGGTCGATCATTCACTATGTGTAATTGGCAAGAACTAACCTCCAGTAAAAAGTTAAGAAAAAACTAGGAAGAAAAAAGAAGCTAGTGAAAATCTTTGTAGAGCTCCATTTTTTTTTGGTAGTCCTAGCGTCCCTCAAACCAAGCAATGTGTGTGTGTGCTCACTCGATGTGGACTCTCTCCTCTTCTCAAAGTAATTTTCCTTCCTTTTCTCCTCTCCTCCAATTTTTTCCTGAAGGGCTTTAGCGAGAAGGAAAAAAGAAAGAGGAGAGGGAGCGAGTGAAAGAAATTTGGGCTGCAATGCGATGTTGTGGGTTTCCTTGTTTTGATAGAGCCAGGGCGGTGGTAGCGGTTTTTCTCGTTTTCTATTTGGTTTTGGGTGTGACTCTTGTTTTGGGCGATGACGATCGCGGCCGCCAGCGATCCCTGACAATCCAGCGCGTTCTAGAAAAGATCAACAAGCCAGGCGTCGCCAGCATCCAGGTCGGTAAGCATTTCCTTTTCTCCATTTTCCTTTCCTCCATTTGGGAAGTTCTCGACTAAAGAATCTTCTTCCTTGATGTTCTTCCTTAAATTATTCGTGGGTGAAGAGTCCTGATGGAGATATTATCGACTGCGTTCCCATCGCCAACCAGCCGGCATTCGATCATCCATTGCTGCAAGGCTCCAAGCTACAGGTTCTCATATAAATTCTCACTTCCTTAGAAATCTCCTCTAACCTTCATGCCTGCTTGTTTGATCGGTGGTAAACTTGGTTCCCACGTTTGCGTGTTTTCCTTCGAGCATTCGTAAAATTACGTGTTTCTTCTTGTTCTACCATTTTGCTCGAGGCATTGGTGTCACTGATCGAGCGAATTTTTTGCTATCAACTTTACAGATCTCGCCATCAAATTCCTCGTTTCTTCTGGCCTCCAAGAGTGGCAGAAAGATCCAGCAGCGATGGCACCAAGCTGGCCAGCGTTGTCCCAAAGGCAGCATTCCAGTCCGCCGGACGCTCGAGCTGGACGTGGAGAGAATCGCTCAGCAGCGCGAAAATCACTCGATCGATTCCTTTGCTCGAAAATCCCAGGGCCCTCCACACGTAGACAGCCACAAAAGCTTGCAAGCTGCGGTACCTTCTAGCTCCAGGCAACACGAGGTAAGTTTTTCTTTTTATTCTTCTTCATTGTTCCTCCAAGTTGATGCATTTGGATTCTTCTCTTCGATCCTTGTTTTCGTGCTGCTGTTTTCCTGTTCACTTTTGTCAGGTTTTATCTTCATTGCGGTACAGTTCATGTTCGCAACTTTGTCTCTGTGCAGCTTTCTTACACCTTTTCTTCTTTTTTTTTACTTTTTTCTTTTTTTTTTTGAGATTTAGCACGCAATTGCGTACGCGGAGGGTGTGTTTTACGGAGCCGAGGCCGTGATCAATGTATGGGATCCGTCAGTAGAAGGTGCAGATGAGTTCAGCCTCTCGCAAGTCTGGATTCTCTCCGGAACTTTCAATGTTGATCTCAACAGTGTTGAAGCAGGCTGGCAGGTATTCAAAACTATTTCTCAAAAAAAAAACAAAAAGACAAGAAAAAAGCAGAAACAACTCACAAGAATTTCCAGGTGAACCCCGCTCTCTACGGCGACAGGAATCCCCGATTCTTCACATACTGGACAGTAAGAAGTTTTCTTGTTTTGTGTTCATCTTTCTCAGGCTTTTCCAAATATCTCAGAGTGATTCTTACCGTGGCACTGGCTGCTACAACCTTCTGTGCGAAGGCTTCGTGCAAATCAACGACCAAGTCGTGCTGGGCGGAGCAGTCGCACCCGTTTCATCACTTAACGGCGTCCAATACGACATCCGCATCCTCATCTTCAAGGTACACACAAAAACCTCCAAACTTTTCTCTTCAATCTTCTCAACATATCTCAAGCTCTAGAGAAAGAGATCTTCCATCGTCCCAAGAAACGTCTCACAAACTTTTTATTCACTTTCGCAGGACTTCATAACCGGCAATTGGTGGCTTCGCTATGGAGACGAGCTCATTGGCTACTGGCCTCCGCAGCTCTTCACTCACTTGGCCGGCTTTGCAAACGTGATTGAGTGGGGCGGCGAAGTGGTGAACACGAGACCAAACAACAGGCACACGGCAACACAGATGGGAAGCGGTCACTACCCGCAGGCAGGCTACGCGGTGGCCAGTTATCTCAAAAACCTTCGTGTGGTGGATCTCACCAGCTTGCTGCGCGGCCCGGCTAGCATTTTTACGCTGTCCACCAAGCCCGACTGCTACAGTATCCGATCCTCGGGTGGAACTTTCTTTTACGGGGGGCCTGGATTGAGTTCTTCCTGTCAATAACAAACAAATGTGTTAGACTGGAGGGAGGTGATTTCAAGAGGATGTTGGTGGTACAATTCCACTGATGATCAAAAACGTCAAGAGAAGGGCAAAAAGAGCAGATTGGCATTCAATTTGACTAATAAGATTGATCTTCCAATTTATTCATGTGAGAGACAAGAAAAACTAAAGTTTAAAATGTTTATATGGTAATAAGAACAACTGAAATTTTTAATTGCTTTTTAAAAATAATACAAAAATACCACAGTAGCATCAGATGACAACAAATAAGGCTTTCTTTCAGAAAATAAGAGTTTCTTAGAGGTGAGACTTTATATATTATTGCTTGTGAATCTATTTATTTTGAGAGTTTTAATATGGAGTTAAGAGATGTTTTATTTCTACTTAGCTTAATTCAAAATCTATTATCAATTTCTCAGCTTATAAGTCAAAGTGTTCATTCCTATTTCCTAAAGTGATTTAAAGTACCTAAACTCTACAATTTTTGGAGGTTTCAACTATAGAACAACAAACTCCTGCAATCGCTCGCCCTCGAGAGGCCACCGCTGTCCGTGTTGCCGCACTACCATGCCATCTCGACTTGTACGCAGCACGCTCGCATCTGGCTTATTACGGCCACAACTTGAAGTTTTGTGCCTCTCCAGAGTTATATATGTTCAAGAGTTTTGTTGGACTAGATGGCCGGCTTGGGACGCAGGATTCTAGCACGCAAGAGGAGGAGGAGGTATGTACATGTTTCTGTGTGCAAGCTTTTATTCCTTTCTTTCTTGCCAGGTTCTAGCAAATGGTTTCTGCAAGTAGCGCACTCCGTCCTTCATGGAGAAAGCTGTGAGGGCCTGCACTATGGTAGACATGTGATACTAGCATCCATTCTTTAACACACATTAAAATCTTTGCATGATTTCTTTTTGTGATGTTCTCCAGCCAAATGGAAAAGGCATGGTTGATGAACATGCGGCCAGAGGACTATGATCTCGCAAAGCCACCGGACATAGCGATGTGGCGCGCTTACAGACAGTACGTTGGGCATCCCGTGGTGGTTCCGAAAGAGCAGCCCAAGATTGAAGGCCGCGTCCTTTCCACTATCAACTATAAATACACCCGCTACCTTCACACCGAGGCCTTCTCAAGGAAGGAGGAGGAGATTCCAATACCAGGACTTCTATGCTCGTTTCGTCATTAATGTAATATCAGCTAGTTCAATGGAGTGATTTCTCTCTCTGAGGCGATGCTTAGATGGTTGCCTGCGTAGTGCACGCATGCTTAGAACGGCAGAGCTTCGATGCGATGTAACCTGTTTGAGCTAAGATGGAGCCATTCAACTTAAATGCGAGTGAGAAGAGATACTACGATGGGCCATTATGTGGACACGACCAAGTTCGAGGCTCTGGTATGTGAGAAAATCTTTCTCCTGGCTTTGATTTCCTTTTTCCCTCCTTTCTTCCAGGACGCAGTGCAGAGGTAGACACTTTGAACGCCTCACGTGAAAAGTTAAAGAAGTTTCCGAGCACGACATTTCCCCTCGAGATATCGGGCTCATAAAGAAGCAGATTGCTGACGCGCTGGAGCCTGGAGATATGGTGCTTGTTTTTTATTGTACGGCATTGTCATGCTTGGTAGTAGTATTCTATTGTCTTGGGTATGCCACTCACGCTAGCAGTATTCCTTTTGTCTTTCACTGAATGCATGCATATGCTTGTGCCTAGCTTATACATCTCTGTGGATCTTGACGAGATGAGCCACATTTCTACTGAGTAGTAGGAACATTCAGGTTAGCAGTGATTTTCAAAAGCGTAGTTTTGCTCCTTGTCCTCCGAGAAACTGACCTCTGGTTGTCGCAGTAGAAAGCTGGTCGACATGTCCCAGCCACCCGGTCAAATAAATCTAGTGACATGGGCAAAGACCGCTGCTCAACAGCAAGGAGGGACTGGAGATCCTCGGCTCTATACAATGTTCCATTTGACAACCTCGTCAGGGTGGCAGCGATCACCTCCAGCCGGACGTCTCTCACAGGCCTCTCATGCAGTCGTCCAGGCGTTGAAGCTAATATACAACGACTCGGACGCCAGCGACGGTATCGTGTCCGGCAATGGCAGCATGCCCAGGGAAAGCCAGCAGCAGGACGTAAAGTCGAGGAATCCTTTTGTCGGCGGTGGTGGAGCGTACGCAAGCGGTGGTGGTGGTGGTGGTGGTGACGACGAGAGAATTCGCACTGCGGCGAGACACGGCTGGGAGAGTGACTCGTTCAACAGCATTGACTACGACTCTAGGACGTTTGGTGGAGATTACCAAGGACGCTTCGGCTTGATCGATGTCGCCGCAGTGGGAGATGACGCGCATTGCTGCTGCTCCCCCAGCTTGACAGTGCTACCGAGTGAGAAACACGCAGTGAGTGTTGGTGCTACTGCGGTACAAGCGGGACGATGCTAACAGGAACGACCATAGTGACATTTGGCTGCTATAGTTTTTAGAGGGAGCGGGGCGGCGATGGTGGTTGGCGGAGATAGAAGGGATAGATTGATCATTGTTTCACACAGGCTAGTCGTATTCTTGCTCGAGATGATGGTTTCGAGCTCGGCTTCTCATCGATTTGGATTTTCTTGCTGGGTGTTTGCTACTGGAGTATAGCAAGATCACGGGAGCAAAAGAAGGCGAGCTTGAGTTCCTGGCTCGGGAAACAAGCTGTCTATGCCAGAGTATCGAAAAAACGGCTTAATAGTAAACGTAGGGCACAGTATTGCGCGCAGCAATGCTTTCCAGTTCTTTTCGTAGAAGTCTCTCGACGCTAGGCAGTTTTTCTCCGCTGCCCTCGCTTGGTCGTTTGTCTCCGCTTCCGGGCAGTTTATCTGCGGATCTGAGGCGTACGCTTCATCTATCGCCCGTGTATCGTACCGAGATTTTGAAACCAGGGGTAGGATTTAATGATCTTGTCAACGCAAGGGGTATTGGCTATGCTGGGGCCATGTCCAAGTTCGTCGCCAAAGCTGCACGGCCGCATGAGGAGGAGGCAGCGGCGATGGACGTGCACGAATGCGTGTGCATAGATGCCATGATCGCCAAATGGCATGCTGAAGATCCAGACGAGACGCTGTTCCTGGTGCTGGCACTCTGCTACATCGCCCGCCTCTCCGATGCCGAGAGGAGCGCGTGCGCTGCAACGCTGGGCTGGGACGGCGCGCGAGCGCGGATGGACTGCATGGTTGATTTCGCTCGCCGGGTGCTCCTCTCGCAGACTCCAATCCTTGACTCGTTAGAAGCATCGAGGCAAGAGGAGGAAGTGACCGGTCACCTGGAGCGTTTGTGGAGCGCGTTTTGCAGGGAGAGGAACATGAAAGGTTTGTAACTTTTCTTGGTTTTCTAATGACGGTTTTAGATCTTTGTTTTGGAAGTGTGCTCCAAGGAGGTGGTGCGCACTGATATCGATATGGATTTCTTTCCTGCAGAGCCTTACCGCAAGCCTTGCAATGGGGAATTTAGATGTAAGAAGTTTTTTATTTACCTGGTTTCTCTTGTCGACAACTCTTTCAGGGCGCTGCAAAGGGGACGTGGAGGAGAAGTGGGACATCAAATTCTCCCCTCTGAGTACCACGTTTGCGGGGGAAGTGCCAAAGCTACTGGACTTGGTATCCAAAGTTGTGAACAGCGACTTCTTCTTTTTTCACCCGGTGGACAACATGGTGAGTAACTCAAATTCTTGAAATCTCTGATCTTTATAAGTTCTGTCCACAGGGGTGGAATATGCGATCGGTTGTGCGTGACCAAGCTCGACGAGACCAAGTAAAATTGGTTTACTCGCTGCTTGCAGGACATCGAGTCCCGCCGCCTTGGCCGTTTGTCGAAATGGACGGCGTCATGTCTGCACCCCTGCGGGTCAAGGAACTGGTACTGCTGCTCGAAGGGATTCACAACAACAAACTCCTGCGATCGCTCGCCCTCGAGAGGCCACCGCTGTCCGTGTTGCCACACTACCATGCCATCTCGACTTGCACGCAGCACGCTCGTATCTGGCTTGGGCGCTACGACCTCCGAATCTATTACGACCACAAGTTGACGTGTAAGTTTTGTGCCTCTCCAGAGCTATATATGTTCCAAGTGTTTTGTTGGACTAGATGGCCGGCTTGGAACACAGGATTCTAGCACGCAAGAGGAGGAGGAAGTATGTACATGTTTGTGTTTGCAAGCTTTTATTCTTTTCTTTCTTGCCAGGTTCTAGCAAATGGTTTCTACAAGGAGCGCACTCCGTCCTTTATGGAGAAAGCTGTGAGGATGTGCACTATGGGAGAGATGTGGTACTAGCATCCATTCTCTAACACACATTAAAATATCGGCATGATTTGTTTTTGTGATACAGGGTGTCCTCCAACGAAAAGGAAGAGGCATTGCTGATGAACATGCGGCCAGAGGACTACGATCTCGCAAAGCCACCGGACACAGCGATGTGGCGTGCTTATAGACAATACGTTGGGCATCCCGTGGTGGTTCCAAAAGAGCAGCCCAAGATTGGAGCAGCCCAAGTCCTTTCGGATATCAACTATGAATACACCCGGTACCTTGGCTGGGAGACAAAGTCGAAACACAGCGAAGATGGTCTCTTTCCACTACCCGTACCAACTCTCCATGAAATCTTATAAATTCTGTATGAAGAGTAAAGAATATATCTAGAATATCCCGGCATATTCTAAAGTATTTTTTAAGCCTGTTAAACTAATCAATTCCGGATAATATTGTTTATCTGTAATACAATTTTTTTGAGGCGCACTTGCTGCATCCTCATGCATATCCTGGAATTCGTTCAATACAAGCTTGGCGTGCGAGCAAGCGAGTTAGGGGAGGTTTCCAGGGTACAGGGCAACACTCGTGAGATTTTGTTCCTTCCAAAGTTCCTTACACATGACAGTTTGTGTGCTTAAATCAGTGGAAACCACGAGTCAGGAGGCGTTGTTTCATCAACCATGTTCAAATTCCCGTGCAAAATAGAAATCTGGTTTGTAGTTCTAAAATGGAGAAAAACTGACATATAAATTTGTTATTTTTTCTTCTTTGCAAGGTGTTAAATTGACTATGGTCTCTTATGCTTCTGTATTGCCGACAACTGGTTGGTCATGGGATCCACGCTTTACTGGTTCTATGCCAGGTACCTGCATGTCCATAGAATTTGTAGCGTGTGAGAGCTAGCTAGGTTGCTTGTTTTTAGTTTTCCAGCGTTACAACA